AGAAGGCCAGCTCAGTCAACCAAGCATCAGAAAGGTACCAACATTCTCAGCAGCAGCAACAACAAAACTGGCAAACAGTTCGGCAATGTCCTCAAAATCCTGAGGGGAAATAACTGCTAGCCTGAAGTTCTATATCCAGACAAACTGACAATGAAGTGTGGGTGAGTGCAGAATAAAATGTTTTCCGACATGAAAAATCTCAAAACTGTGACTCTCCCATATTCTCCTGGGAGACTACTGAAAAAGATCCTCCACTAAAACCGAAGAGTAAACTACGAAAGTAGACAAGGAATCAAGTGGAAGGGAAGAGGAGAGAACTCCCTGGGGTGATGGAGGAGAACGACCAGTGTAAGGCCCAGAGGACAAGCAGCCCAGGCCAGAGTAGGAGAGAGGGTTTCAAAAAGACACCACCAAGAAAAGAAAACACGAACACCTTACGTGGCCTAAAATGCTGAGAAGAGACCCCACACCTGGGGGGAAGCTGAGGGTTTAATTAACTTTGTGGTTACAGAAATCTAATAAAGGACACTAGGTCCAGGGAAGAAAAAGTAACTGCAGAAGAAAACAGCCACTCGTTCACAGCAGTGAGCAATGCTCACAGGGTCACAGTAACAGGGGTAGGAAGGAAAATTAGGAATCTAAATTTAAACTATGTGAATGTAAACCTTTAACTTAAGTGAGAGAGAGAAACAGAGGCCATGACCCCACAACCTATTAACACACTAATGCTCTTCTCTCCTGTGTGGCCCGCCTTAAGTGAAACTTAATTTTTAAACAAACCTGGGATCTTACTTCATGGACATAATTCTGAGCTTAAAAAGAAAGAAAGTGACATATCGTAAAGCATTTCCACTTACTAAGTATCCCTCATAAACAAGTAATAAGACCAGTTAAACACTGAAATAAACCAACAGTTTAATCAAACCATTACTTTACTAGATATATCTACACGTATACATAAATATTTGCATAACTGATTATTCTCATTTTTAAGCTTCTTTCTATTATATTGCCAAACTGTCCTCCAAAAATGTTTCCCCAATTTATCCGCCATCCAGTCATGCATGGCAGCAACCAGAGAAGCCTTTCCATCACTCCTAGCAACGTTTTCATCTTTTAAAAATATGTGCCAATGTAATATCTAAATCACCTCTTACATAGAGCCTACTAAAAAGAACTGAATGTTTTCCTGATGATTTCAGATGATCAATGCAAATATTAGTTACAGATACTCCTGGCTGTAAGCGGGAATAGAACAGAAGCCTGAATGTGCATCCTTGGTGCCTTGGGAGCTTCATTGCGTGCTTGCAGCTAGAATCCTCAATTAACACAGCTGAGGAGATATAACGATTCATTAAACAAAATGCCCAAAGTGAAACATCTATCCCAGGAGTGACACAGTCAGGATTTGAGCCATATCTTGCTAATGCTACAGCCCAAACTCTTTCCAATATGCTGTTCTGATTCCAAAAACAGACAGCACTCTCTGGTTGCACATGTACTCAGCCTACTAGGCTTGTTCATGAGGATGAAATGAATATCACCTCCATTTCCAGATTCTGAGTGATGGAATCTTTCAGCAAAAGACATGACATCTCCTCACAAGGTTCTCTAAAACCTCCCTACGTCACACTTGGAAGAGCTAAGAAATAAGCAGTGTTAGGGCTGCAAAAGTGCTTTAAAAGCTACATACACAACCCCTATACTATACATCAGCTTTGTCCAAAAATCTGGTGGTGAGAGAACCAGAACACTGAGAAAGCAGCAGAAATGGAGAAAAATTTTGTTTAATTTTTCTATAGTGACAATTTTGGCTTACTCATCACATAAGAAAAAAAGCCCACTGAAAAAGGAAATTTAAAAATTCAAGCTATGAAAATGCTGAGGATCCCAGAAAAAGAAGGGAGCACAACTGTAGCCTAGACTCAGATCAGGTGGCTGCAAGCACTTGCATGACACCGGCAGGACCTTCCAAGTGCCTTTTATCTTTTTCATTCACAAATTTCACATATATCTTTATTCCCAGCTTCTCCTAAAAATCTGAAGATCTGGCAATGCTGGGCGAGCAGTGTGGCAGCCGACCACTATCCAGCACCCATCAGTGGACACCCCTTTCAACAAGGCAGGCCCTCTGGGCAGCCACCGTTCCCACCAAGACCACTACTCCCACCTGCCCGCCCCAGCTTCTGGGTTAGAGGAACAGCTTGAGAGCAGTCTTGGAAAAGAGGCAAGAAAGGGCCCATCTCCCTACAAGAAAGGAAACACGCGAGAGAAGAGGAATGGCACCTGTTCTACAGGTGGGCCAGAGGAGGAAACTATCAGACACCAGCACCATCCCGATAAACACCAAACTTTCCCTTCAGGGGAGCACTTCACACCCTGGGCAAGGAAAACGGCTTCACCAGCCTCAAATAAACCTGAGGCTCTTTTTGTAAAAGAATAAGAAAGTTGGAAGCTTTTAGTACATTTTTACATCAATTTGTACTCCATAGAGAAAATGAGTACAAGTGAGCTATGCTGGAGAATTCTAGAACAGTGACATTTTATGGTGGTCTGCAGCATGATCACATACAGTAAAAAACAACTGATACTTATGCAAACATAAACTTCAATCCATTCCTACCACCATATAGAAAAATTAATCCAAAATAGGTCATAAACCTAAATGTAAAACCTAAAATTATAAAACTTCTAGGAGAAAACCTTTGTGATGCTGGGTTAGGCAAAGATTTCTTAGAAACGATACCAAAACCGTGATTCATAAAAGAACAAGATGATAAAGTGAACTTCATTAAATTTAAAAACTCTTGCTCTTTTAAAGACACTGTGAAGAGCCACTGACTACGAAAATATATTTGCAAATCATATATCTAATAAAGAACTCTCAAACCCAACAATAAAAAAAAACTTTAAAACTGACAGGCAGAAAAAGATGTACACAAACACTTAACCGAAGACACACAAGTGGCAAACAGGCACATGAAAAGATGTTCAACATTATTAGTCATTAGATAAGTTCAAATTAAAACTACAGTAAGATATCACTACATATTCACTAGGATGGCTGAAATTAAAAAGAATGACTATATCATGTATTAGCAAAGATATAAAGGAACCTGAACTCTCCTCCACCGCTGGTGGGAACATAAAATAGCACAACTCCTTTGGAAGAGTGTGGCAGCTTCTTACAAAGTTAAACATACGCCTGCCTTAAGAGCCAGCCACTCCACTCCTCTGTATTTACTCAAGGGGAATGGAAGGGTATGTCCACATAAAGAATGTACACAAGTATTCACAGCGGTTTCATGTGTAACAGCCTCAGACTGCACACACTCCCAATGTTCATCAGCCAGTGAATGGGTAAGCCATTTGTGCTATTTCTGTACAATGCAATACTACCCAACAATAATAAGAAACGAACTACTGATATACACTACAACATGGATGTCAAAAATTATCCTGAATGAAAGCCAGTCCCCCAAAAAGGGCATTCAATATGATTCACTTATACAAAATTTTAGAAACTACAAATGATCTGTAGTGAGAGAACACAGATGAGTGATTTCCTGGAGCCTAGGTGAGGTCACAAAGGGGCAGGAGAAAACTTTTGGGGATGAGGGATATGTTCACTCTAGACTGAGAAGGTGGCATACATCATATCAAGTACCCTTTAAATATATGCAGTTTACTGAACGTCATTCAGACCTCCAGAGAACTGTTTTAAAAAAGTTAAACAAGATGAGATGTTTCACAAAAGGAGATGGTGGTGCCATTTGACCCTTAAATAATCTAGTGAGTAATAACGTAATACTGCTTGTCCCAGGGAAGGGATGTTCCATAACAGATCCCAAAAGATGGCACAAAGTAGCAGGTTCTCTAGTTCTTGGGGGAGAAAGAGTGTGAATAAAAGCTATGCAAAAACAAAACAAAATCTCTTTTGGAAAGAACAGGTCAATGTGTCAAAGAGCTAGGGATTTAAAGTTGGGACTCTAGGCTTGACTGTGTCTTAGTCATGGGAAACCTTCATAACTGTGAACATTACTCTGGTGTAAGTGCAGGGAACGTGAAGTCAAGGAGAGAAAGCTTGGGAGCAGGAAGACCAAGCTAAGAAGGTCTTTCTCTGGGTGTGAGCTACAGGGTGAACAAAGGCAGTAAGAGTGGGAATGCAATGTGAATCATGGACAGAAGGGCCACAGAAGGAAGGAAGAATTTTATGATTATCAAACTGGAAGAACTCAGGAAAAGGACACTGCTGCTGTCTCCTCTCCTGTCAAGTTAACCATGTGAGGCTAGGGGTTCCGAGGGACAAAGAAGCACCCCAGCAGACCCGTGAGGCTGAGCCTTTAGGTCAGAGTGTAGGCCACCACTGCTGCAGCAGAATCACAAAGTCCATCCTGGGTGAATAAAGCCTGGAATGAGCCAACACCAAAATGCAGGCTCAAAGAGGAAAGTCCCATTAAAAAAAACTGTCTTTACAAGGACCAGACCCAAACAAATTCCACTTTCAATTGTACCACTTGATTTCTAAGATCTGAAACTATTCTCATGCACCTTACATAGAAAACAAGACTTTCTTTTAAAGCCATAATCAAGGTGCTCAAGTTCTAGAGAGAAATCAGTTATCTCTAAAAATGTTAGCAACATGGAAATTCTACTTATTAACATGGCAACATGATCTTTAGTTTCTAATAATCAACACTATTTCATAAATACATACATGTTCTGGCACAACTAGTTACCTGTAACAAGCTATGATTGGAATGAAGATCCGTGTTGTGGAAGGACGCCAGAAATGCAATATATTGATACAAAGCTTTATGTGCAAAAAGAATTAAGCTTTTATTGTACTTATTAAGAAGCCTAATTTTATGAACCAATAAATCATTTCAACCCCAAATCCCAATTCTATAACCACCCTTCTCAAAATCCATCCACTTGACATTCTCCCCCAGCCACACAGACAAAGCACTTTTGCCACCCAGCACATACGGCCTGCATACCTGTTTGGAAGGTAGGATTCGCTCCAGGGTACATGTTGGGGGAATAGGCAGGAGCTGCTGCTGCATAGCCCATGGGGAAACCAGCTGGAGAAAAACAAAGAACAATGTGATTTTAAAACCAGGGCTCCCACAGACCCAGCTGTCCTCAGCTTCTTCACCGCAGCCCCCAGACTGGCTTCAGGAGCCCAACAGCGCTATGGGTGCTGAGCAGGTGGTCTCTACTTGTCTCCTCTCCTCAGAGCTGTGATGGGTCACAATCATAAACGAGTCTTTTAAACCTAAGAGTATAAATGCTTACAACTTTCTAAATTAAAAACATTTATTTGACAGAAACTGAATTAGAATGAAGTAAAAAATATATATATCCTAAGCTGAAGTCAGAAAACTCTCAATTCTTCTGGCAGTTTTATTTTCGATTCTAATCGCCTAATTTATTACTTAGCAAGAGTAATAAGGGTGTTGCAAGCTTCACATGCTAAACGGGCTCTAACCAGCACCATACACAAATGGAACTGGGAAAAATCTAATCACACATTCCGTTTGCAAGCAACCTGACCTTTATTAACACAAATGAGGAATCCTTAATAAGACTAAGCTACAACCACTAATTGATCACGTGAACACAACAGAACCATCAAGAAAGACGTTAGTGCTTCAGCCAAAGCCAGAGGGGTGGACTTCCCTGGTGGCGCAGTGGTTGAGAGTCCACCTGCCGAGGAGGGGAACACGGGTTCGTGCCCCGGTCTGGGAAGATCCCACACACCGCGGAGCGGCTGGGCCCGTGAGCCATGGCCGCTGAGCCTGCGCGTCCGGAGCCTGTGCTCCTAAACGGGAGAGGCCGAAAAAGAGAGAGCCCGCCGCAAAAAAAAAAAAAAAAAAAAAAAAAAAAAAAACCAGAGAGGGGCCTCAGTTATTCGCTCCAGGTCCCTCACATCTCTCAGCTCGATCCACTCACCACGCGACAATGGGGCCTTAAAGAGCCTTCTCTACATTCAGGGCACAGAGCCAAGATGACCCAGGTTTGCTAGTCTTTACTACCTACACAAATGGTTGCGAGAAGCTGTAATCCCTCCAGAAAATTCTAACCTGCAGGGTTCCAAATCAACATGGTTGAGAACCACTGTTCACTCCCACTCCTGTCCATCTTCCCAGTCACAGTACTGTCCTCCTGAAAATGCCCCTTGGCGAGTACCATGGACTGTCTCCTCCAACATGGACTCTACCTCCTTTCTGGCAGGCAGAGGCTGGCAAGCTAAAAACTACACTGCCCAGACTCCCCCTCTTGCAAGAGGTTGGAAGTGATCCCAAATCCCAATCACTTCATAAAAACAAAAACTTAAATACCACTAGCTGTGTAAAAAAGACTTAGCTTTTTACAAGAAATATACTTGCAAATTATTTAGACAAAGGGAAAATACACTTAATATATAAATAACTTTTAAAGTTAAAAAAACGAAAACCCAAAAGAAAACGGAAGACATGGACAGAGAGAACTGCCAACTACCATTTCTAACTTCAGGCTGGCACAAATCCAAAAGCTGAGGACACGCTTTCTTGGCAAGGTTGTGGGGTAAACAACAGTCTCACACCCTTCTGGTAGGAGTGCAAAGCAGTAAAAATCCTACGCAAGAAGGGAAATCGGCAGTACCTTTAAAATTACATCTGCGTTAGAAGATGTGGTATACCTACAACGGAGTATTACTCAGCCATTAAAAAGAATGAAATAATGCCATTTACAGCAGCATGGATGTACCCAGAGATTATCATACTAAGTGAAGTAAATCAGACAAAGAAAGACAAGTATCATGTGGTATCACTTAGACAAATATCATGTGGTATCGCTTATATGTGGAATCTAAAAAAAAAAAAAGATACAAATGAACTTATTTACAAAACAGAAACAGACTCACAGACTTAGAGAAAGAACTTAGGGTTGCCAGGGGGGAAGGGTAGGGGGGAGGGATAGATTGGGAGTTTGTGATTGACATGTACACGCTGCTATATTTAAAATAGATAAGTAACAAGGACCTACTATATAGCACAGGGAACTCTGCTCAATATTCTGTAATAACCTAAATGGGAAAAGAATTTGAGAAAGAAAAGATACATGTATATGTATAAGTGAATCATTTTGCTGTACACCTGAAACACATTGTTAATCAACTATACTCCGATATAAAATAAAAATTTTTAAAAAGAATAACAGGAAAAAAAAAATCACATCTGCATTTACTCTCTCCACTGGCAATCCCACCTCAAGGAATCCACCCTGAAGATAATTTTCACAAACACTATCAACTGCAGTATTACTGGAATAGCAAAAGACTTCAAACAACATACCCATGCAAAGAACTGGTTGAATGAAACTATGGAAACCCCCACAAGATGAAGGGTTATGCAGCAGTACTATGTATTATAAAATACAAATAAGAAGAAGGCAAACCTTTGTGAACCGACAAGGAACAATCAAGAAGCTGACAAAGCCAAGTGACCACCACCACCTGCATCTCGATTCCAGAAAACAACCTGCCGTTCGGCTGGGGGGAGGAGGATGTGGGAGGAGAGCCTTCAGCAGCAGGGCTTTGCAGGGCCACTTCTGCCTGCCGAGGCCTCCTCTAACTGCCAGTGCCGCCCCAGGGCTCCCCAATGAGCCCGCTGACACTGCACACTCGGGTCAGGCTCCCACACCCAGTACTGCTTCCACCCCACCAGATCCTTTCAAGCGTTACCCACCCCTACAACGTCTGAACTCCTAACTCCATCTCAGGGTCCGACACCCTCGTGCAACAAAGGCGAAATTAGAATATATGGACATAGTTGGCCTGGGAGCATGATATGTCTGTGTCCCCTCCAAAATTTACATGTTGAAACCCTAATCCCCAATGTGATGATATTTGGAGATACTTAATGGTGGTAATCATTTCACTACATATAAATACATTAAATCATCACATACACCTTAAAAAAACCCATGTTGTACAACCTAAATATATACGGTTTTTATTTATCAATCATACCTCAGTAAAGCTGGGGGGAAAAAAAGATCAAGCAACGTGCTGTGTGGTTAACAAAGGAAGATATCAACCTGATTACCTATAATTTTTAATACACTTGTTTATTACATTCCATGAAAAAAACACTAGGAATGGCAAGACACAGGACCTTATGGGTGAAACAGAAAAAGATAAACTGAAAATACAGACCACGGGTGATCCACAGACTGCAGTCAGCCAACAAGGTCTTTAAATTGTGTATTTCTTATGACTTAGAAAACTAGAGCTCAGGTTTGCTCCAAGGCGCCCCTGCTGTTTAGAAGAGCTGTGCGGGGGAACTTTGGTCCCTTTGGTCCCTCGTCTAACCCCTGCCCTCCAGTGCTCCGCCAGTGGGTGGGGAGGGGCCAACCTGTGCATCCGGCAGGGAATCCAGGAGGGGTAGCTGCAAAGGACTGGGTGGGGTTGTGGAGCTCCTGCTGCTGAAGTCGGGGAAGCGAGGGAGGGGATGCGGGGGTGCAGGGTCCCAGAGCTGGACCCACTGCGGTGGGACGCAGCCTCCTAGCCTCCCCTCCCCCACCTTACAGTAGGTTCCAATAATATTTAATTGCATCTCGGGCTCTCGGGCTTAAAACTCACCCACAGGCTCGCAGGTCCCTTGACTGCACTCCTTCCTCTATTAGATAAAGTATGAGGGGGGGAAGGACGGGACACCACAACAAGGAGGGGACTGGAGGGACCCCTGAAGTGCTGGCCTCAGCTGACTAAAGAGGTCGGGACCCACGCTGTCACAGACCCCTGTCAGAGGACCCCTTAGGGCGGAATTGAGGGGGACAGTTAGGAGGTGGTCTGTGTCAAGTGAGCACGGATCACCATGGGGTGGGGAGCACGCTGACCCCTGAGAAGTACTGTTAGAAAGATGCGTTCCTCCCTCCTCTTGAAGGATGTGGGTGGGCTTTAAGGCTCCAGTCCCCGCCACACACTCTTTCCAGGCCCGACTGCACCTCTGGCGCCGGCCTTGTTAGCCTGGCTTCCAGTCCTAGAACTTGCCAGGCTCTGGGGGAGAATCTGGGCTGCTGAGAGGGTCGCTGGGGGCTCAAGCTACCCCTGGGTTTCGCAAGTGGAGGGAGGAAGGGTGAAGGCAGTAGTGGGGTGGGGCCGGGAGGGGTGAGTGCCCCGGGAGACCCTGAGAGAGAAATACCCCTACCAGCCCCTGCCCCCTGCCGCTGAGCCGGATGCCCGAGGCTTTCCGTGTCTCTGGGAGGAGCCCTGCTTCTTCACCCCTGTGCTCAGAACCGTGCGGAGGCAACTCCTCACCCTCCGGCTGCTGTGCCACGGTTTTCCTTTAAATGTTGTTCTTGGCTCATTTGGCTTTCAGTTCCCCAAACAGCAGTTTTGAGCTCTCCAAGCTATTTAAAAGTGTTCTCCTTAAAGTGAGACTAAAGCCCACTCTTCTGGAAAAACTACCTTCACTTCAGAGGAGATATTTTTTCCTCCCCATTTCTTCCTTCTACCGCCCTCTGAACAATCAAGCCAAAGTCAAGCAGCTCTGTGAGCACTAAGCAAAGATAAACACAAAGAAAATCACATCTAGCCATTTCACAGTAAAAACAAAGATATTTTAAAAGCAGCGGGGTCGGGGAGCAGGGGGGAGGGAAGGGATATACTAACTCCAAAGAAACAAAAATAATTCTGACAGAAACGGGAAGACAATACAACTGCCTTTAAAGTGCTGAGAGAAAATAACAGCCAACCTAAAACTGTATACTCAGTATGGTAGGCAAACCCCGCCCCCCCCCAGAAGATACATCATCAAATCCCTGGAACCTATAAATGTTACCTTATTTGGAAAAAGAGTCTTTGTAGACATAAGTTAAGGACCTTCAGATAAGATCATCATGGATTATGGGTAGTGGGGGCCTAAACCCAACGCCAAGTGTCTGCATATGAAACACAGACGAGAAGGAGATGATGTAACCATGGAAGTAGAAGCCGGAGTGATGCTGCCACAAGGCTATTCATGTCACGGAATGCTGAAAGCTTCCAGAAACTTCAAGAGGCAAGAAATGATTCTTACCTCGAGCCTCCAGAGGGTATGAGGCCCTGCCAACACCTGAATTTTGGACTTCTGGCTCCCACAACTGTGAGAGAATAAGTTTCTGTGGTTTTTAAGCCACAAACTTTGTAGCAATTTGTTATAGCAGCCACAGAAAACCAACAGACTCATCAAAAATATGCTCCAAAAATGAAAGCAAAATAAAAACATTTCACAAACTAAAACAAAATTCACTGCTAGCAGACATGCAGTAAAAGGGGAGAGGAGGGGAGGGGAGGAGGGGGAGACGAGAGGGGAGGAGGGGAGGGAGGAGGGAAGGGAGAAGTGGGGGAGGAGGGGAGGGAGAAGGGGAGGGAGGAGGGGAGGGAGGAGTGGAGGGAGGAGGGAAGGAGGGGGATGGGGAGGGGACATGGGGAGGGGGGAGGGGAGCAAAAAGTGCTGTAATCTTTAGAGTCATCACTAAATAGCAAAAGAATTTTTCAAAAATTAAAAGAAGGAAAAATTTAATGAAAAATACTTGGTTAATCCAAAAGAAGAAAGTGAACAAAACAAAAAAAACCAGGTGCTATCAATTAGAAAATAACAGTAAGATGGTGCATATGAACCCAATTATTGTCATTCCTCAGTATCCTAGGGGTATTGGTTCCAGGTCACAATACCCAAAATCCACGGATATGAAGGGCTGACCACATGTCAAGTTACCATATTACTACAATTAAAAGATGAAGTTGTTGGGAAGTGTTTCTTTTTTCCCATTAAATGTAAATTTTAGAAAGTTATGGACAAGTCTCTCCATTTACTAGTATAAAAGTATAAAATGGTATAAAAGCACTTTCTTTCCTTGTAATGTCTCGTTAGTTTTTGGTACTGAAGTTATGCTAGCCTCAAAATTCTGTAGGCACATTATTTAACTCCCACTCCCATTCAAAATACCTAGAGTGGTTACTAGTTCCTACACTAAACCCTTGCTGATCTAGAGAGTTTTATGAAAGTCAAGGAGACTAAAATACTAAAACCAAGAAAATAGTTAAGACAGGTATAAAGAAATGGATAAAATAAGAAGAAACGATAACATTTTAAACAGATTTAAAGTTGCAGAAATTTTCTTTTAAATGTAATTTTAAGACCAAAAAAACCCCTAAAAGAGTGCACATGGGAGGGAGACGCAACAGGGAGGAGATATGGGGATATATGTATATGTATATGTATAGCTGATTCACTTTGTAATAAAGCAGAAACTAACACACCATTGTCAAGCAATTATACTCCCATACAGATGTTAAAAAATAAAATAAAATTTTAAAAAGTGCACAGAACTGGTATGACAAGCAACCAATGTTTCATTATAGGTAATGCTAATACCATCAGGTTTTGCCTATTCCCTGGTTTCAGATTTACACAGGATTCTCTTCAGCTATTTAGCCTTCTGTTTAAACTAGTGTTAATTCGTTAAAGACAGTAGGCCTTATCACTAAATCACCTTTTATCAATTCTGGAAAATTCTGGCACTCCTTTTCTTCTAGTCTCTCTACTTGGTCCTTCTGCACCTTTTAATTCTCCTCAAAACTTCTCATCCTAACACCTCTATTTCTTAACCAGTCTGTTTCCCCCTTTCCTTACACTGCATTCTGGTCCTCCCTTTAGCAGTGTTTTATCTGCAGCTTAACTTGAATTTTGTTCAAATGCCTTTTTTTTTCCCATTTAAGTTCCAGTTGGTTCTTTTCGATATGATTCTTTCTTTTGCATCTTCAGTAATTCTAAACATGCTTGTGTGATATGGTTTTTACCTGTTTTGTTCCTGCTGTCTATCATGACTGGTGACTCTGACATGACGAATAACATCACAGTGTTCTGTAATAATTTTGACTTGTTAACAGGCAGAACTTTGTGGGAAACCCACACAACCTGGGTTGAGAACATCTGCCTCCACAGCAGTTCTGCACCTGCTGTTGTCAGGTGCTCCAGGGAATAGTGCCGCCTAGAGTCTTTTTTTATGTTAGTTTCTCGATGTATGGACCTCCTGGGAAGGACAAGTAATTCAAAGTAGAGCCTGAAACATCCCTGAATAGTTACAAATTCTTAGAAAAGGGTTCTCCCTTCCCAGAGCCCAAGCAGAAACTGAACTTCCCCGTGGAGCCAGTGCATGGATTGTTTAGTCTACCTCTCCAATGTGAGTATCACCCTCTGGAGGAATCAGACTGATGAGGGGTCCCACTGCAACTCCCAGCCTTACAAGGGCCAAAGGCCTCAATTTCTGTCCCCAAATAGGTTGCTAAAACCCACAAATAACAAATGCCCCTAGGACAGGCGCATCAACTCAATGGCCCAATGCTCTGGTTTTTATGTCGTTCTCATATTCAGCGGCAGAAATCTCTTACTTTCTTGCAAGTTCGGTTAAACGTTTTTGAAATGTTTTATTTAACTTCCCAGGGGTTTTAAGAGTATCTGTTCCACCATATCATCTAAACCCACAATTGTAATACTACAAATAACTATTCCTTTCAATTAGGACGACAATTTGCTATTTTTGACCACCAACTCCTATTCCCCCAAATTGTGCTTCACCCCCTCCATCACAGCCCATGTTGGACTAGCAGACTTCAGTGAGGTGGGGAACACGACTCAGGCCTAAATTCATCAGTAGACTCCCCTCCTGGCCCCGGGTGCTGGCGTGGAGGGAACAAGATGAGAGCCAGAGCCAGAGCCAGGTGAAGAGACTCACAGCCAAGGGACGGGCTGAGCACCACAGAACCACAATGGTCAGAATGGGACCCACACGGAGAGGATACTGAGGAAGCGGAGCTGAGCACAGGAAGCAGAGAAACTAGACGCCAATCCCCACCCTTGATGCCACCAGATCAGCCTTTGACCAAAGCCAGACCAAGCTCCTGATTTTTCAATTCCGTGAGCCAATACATTTCCTTCCCTATCTAAGCCACTTGAGCTGGGTTTGTCCATCGAAAGCATTCTTAGTGACACAGAAATTCACCACGCGTTCAAAGTTCAATAATGGAAACAAAATTTTACTTGCTTACCTGGATAACCAATTCCTTTGGCATTTGCATAGGGAACCCCAGAAGAACCCGGGCTATAAACAGGATTCATGATTTCAAGAACTAAAAAGGGAAAAAAAGTGATTTAGCCAAGCACTTTTGTTCTCAGGTTTTTCTCCATCATCAGTCTCAAAAGAACAAGAGTCCTTTCTCTAGTATATAATAAAACAAGGCATTTCATGCTGCTGCCAACCAACAGAGAACAGAAAAGGAACGCCAAAGTCCTAATGGGTGCTCACCAGGACACTACAGGCTTTCCTTTATAACTCTCTTCGGTCCATCAGAAGCTAAGGGAAAAAAGTGTTCTCTGTGTCCCTGCTTAAAACTGTGAAAAAATATCTATAAATAATCTAAATGTCCTTATAACAGAGAACAGTCTTAACCAGATCTATCCAGAGCATGAAATAGCATGCAGCTGCTTTTTAAAGTGTTTAAAAATACAGATTGATATCATGGTAATTGGGGAAAAAAAACGGTACAATACTGTAATGCAGTATGCTCCCAAATTTGCACCTACACATATGGGCATGTGCACCTCTGGCACAAACAGAAAAAAAGTCTGGGAGGAAATTAAAATATGAACAGTGATTGCCTCTAGATGGGGTGGTTTAGTGTTCGCTTTGCACTTTTGTCTATTTCTGAAATAACTTAGGTTAAATATATGTCTATTTCCTAAAAAAAGACAAATTAGTACAGCCCAGCAACTCTATTAACCCATTCTATAATTCCCAACCTTTTTTTTTTTTTGCGGTACGCAGGCCTCTCACTGTTGTGGCCTCTCCCGTTGTGGAGCACAGGCTCCGGACGTGCAGGCTCAGCAGCCATGGCTCACGGGCCCAGCCGCTCCGCGGCATGTGAGATCTTCCCGGACCGGGGCGGGGCACGAACCCGTGTCCCCTGCGTTGGCAGGCAGACTCTCAACCACTGAGCCACCAGGGAAGCCCAATTCCCAACCTTTTTTGCCTGAAAAGTTCAAGAACTTGCACAGCTACAACCATGGTTTTATCCCATCCTCTGAATTTTTTATCACCCAGTGTATTCTTAAAGTGTGAGCTAAATTAAGACTATTCAGTATTCCCTGACTTACGTGGCAGTAAGAACAACAGGGATCTTAAATTTAAAAATAAAAACAGCAATGGGGGGGGGGCAGGTATACGGGAACTCTGCACTTTCTGCTCAGTTTTGCTGTGAACCTAAAACTGCTCTTTAAAAAAAGTCTATTTAAAAAGAAAAACAGGCAGTTCCCTGGTGCATACTGGTTAGGATTCTGGACTTTCACTGCCGTGGCCGGGGTTCAATCCCTGTTTGGGGAACTGAGATCCTGCAAGTTGTGTGGCATGGCCAAAAAAAAGAAACAAAAGAAAAACATAAAATGTACATGCATTTGCTTTAGTGTCTGCCTTCCCCACCACATCCTCAGCTAGAATGTAGATAGGGAACTGGAACTTAGCCCTATTTGCAGTAACTTCAGCCCCAATAACAATGTCTTACACACAAAAAGGTGCAACTACCTGCTGACTTTCTAAAAAACACATGCACCTCAAAACACTCTAGGTATCAAATTCCATTACAAAGGCAAAATGCAAAAACAAACCACTTCATATTTTCAGCTCACCTGACTCAGAATATTTACAACCAAGCAGTTCAGTAGAAACTATACCTGGTCAAGTCCTTAGCCTTTGTAACAAGTTCTAAAGTCGAAATAAATTGGGGATATCAGTGATTGATATTGATACTCATTACCTAAGTAATTATCTTATTTCTTTAACTTCCAAACCAAAGGCAGAGATACTTTTTGAAGCCATGACATCCAGAACGACAGCTAAGAGAGAAGTCTAGATCAGTGCTGTGCAACAGTACTTTCTACAAGGATGAAGATGTTCTCTATCTGTGCTGTTCAGTATACCACCCGTTAGCTACAAGTAAACACTGAGCACCTGAAAAATGTGGTTAGAACAGGATCCAATTTTTTAGTTTATTTAACTTCAATCTAAATCTAAATAGTCACGTGTGGCTAGAGGCTACCACCCTGGACAATGCAGATCTACAGAACAGACTACAAAGAAACAAGGATAGGAAGGCATAGGAAGTAGACATGAGAATCAATTGTATTTTACACCACAGTTTAAGAATAAACAAATTGGTGGGCTTCCCTGGTGGCGCAGTGGTTGAGAGTCCGCCTGCTGATGCAGGGGACGCGGGTTCGTGCCCCGGTCCAGGAAGATCCCACGTGCCGCGGAGCGGCTGGGCCCGTGAGTCATGGCCGCTGAGCCTGCGCATCCGGAGCCTGTGCTCCACAACGGGAGAGGCCACAAGAGTGAGAGGCCTGCGTACCGCAAAAAAAAAAGAATAAACAAATTGGTAACTGCCAATCCCCATTTTCCTGCACTTTTAACCCATTTTTGGTGGACCTACAACATAAGGATGTGGAGGTCTTCACATATTTCATCTACTTCTCTGGTTCAACTCTCATCTCTGGAGAAGTGAATACTTCCCAAAACTCTATTTCTCTATTCTGTGCCAGGATCTAATTTCACTTTCTTAATTGAATTCAAGATAAGTAAAGCACTACGCAAAGGCCACAGGGGAGAAAAAGTCGCAGTCCCTGCTCTGAGTTTACAATCTAGAAAAGTATTGTCCAACAGAACTTTCTGTGAAGATGGAAAGGTATGTCTGATCTGTCCACACAGAGTAGTCACTAATGGCTACTGAACACCTGAAATACGGCTAGCATGAATAGTCACATGTAGGTGATGGCTACTGTACTGGACAACACAGGCCTGTAAGACAGAAGACATAAATAATGGTGATTCAGGCCAAAGGGTGTTAAGTGCCATAAAGGAATAAAGGGTTCTGAGGGTTGAGTGGGGAGAGCAAAAATTCAAGGAGGAAGAAAGGAACGGTCAGGAATAACTTGGATTACGGAGGTACTGTTTCCAATAAGCTCTAAACAGGTAGGATCTTGAAATGCCACAGAAATTAGAAAATGCAAGATGCACTCTTTAGGGACACTAAAACTGGGCTTGTTGGAGATTAGGCTACATGTAGGGAATCAGCAAAGATGATTATGGAGACATAGGTGAGACTGAAACCATGTGGAGACCCTTAAATGTGGGGCTGAGCAGGAGATGTCACCTGGTAGGCCATGAAGCTGAAGAACAGCGTAGCGTAGCAGTTAAACACAGGAATTACCATTTGACCTGGCAAATCCACTCCTAGGTATATACCCAAGACAAGTGAAAACATACATCCATACAAAAACCTGTACATGAAAGTTTATAACAGCATTATTCATAACAGCCAGGAACTGCAGACAACTCCAATGAAGCACTGAATACCACAAGGCTCTCCTTTCATGACCTGACTTACATCTAAAACAGCAATACAATCCTACTCCACATTTGCCACTAAAAAATGTATAAAATTGCATTTGAATTCTAAATACCATAAGTTCCAAACTAACCAGAAGTTACGTTTCCTGAAAGCACTTATACTTCCCAAGAGGCTAATAATAACTATTTCCTAAAGTGATTAAGAAGTCATAATTTAAAATTATAGGTTAAAAATATAACAGGATTAACAAAAGAAAATGTTTGTACAACTTCTGTGAACAACTGTCATACAGCTTTTTAAATTACTTGTTCATATGATGAGAGATTCCTCAAAGACTGTGAGCCTCAAGGGCAGGGAAAATACCTTATTCAGCCCTGTCTCTCTGCATCTCACTAGTGCTTGGTCCAGAGATAGCTCATAAATATTTTCTGAATGTTCTTTAATAAAAGAACTGTCCAATGGAAAATACAGGACCCTTCGTAGCAATAAATATGAAGTTGAGACATTTATTTAAAATCTAATTCAGAATTGTTGAAACATATCTGTTATTGATTAGTGGATATGAACGCTGAACCCACTGACCAATCTTAATATCACTAACAGTCAAACTACTTAGTATCTGCATCCTCATATGATGGAATTGCTCTGCATCATCTGAGGTGTACTGCGACTAAAACACTAAAATCTGAATCCAAGGCAGCCTATACATCTACCTCCCAGGTTACAGAAAAAGGCAGGAGTTAGAGGAATATGCTGAACACCATGAAGCAAGCAGACAAAGCCAAAAGGAGGGCATTCTAGAGGACAAGGGGGTCCAGTTTCTTCAGTAAGTCAATGGTCTGGGAAAAGGTGGAAGGTGGAGAGAAGGATAGTCTTAGATTAAGACAGATTTAATAAAGGCCATAAAACACTTTTGTTTGGATCCTTATTTTAAGACGGAAAAAACTGTAAAAAAGTTATTTTAAGGATTTGAGGATACAAATGAATATGGGCTAGGTATCAAACGGCATTAAACAAACATTAATTTTGTTACATGTGATAACAGTATTTTGGTTATGTAAAGATGCATCAATTTTTAGAAGTACGTATTAAACTATGTAAGGATAAAAATGACATGAAGTCATAATTTACAGTATTTCTACATAAAAGGGATTGAGATATTGGGTATATGGCTGTACGCTGTATTTTTATACTTTTTAAATAATGAAAAATTAAGGAAAAAACCCACCATCACCACTCTGCCTGGGATTCTAGTGCCACTGGCCACCCAAAAACCACCGATTTCCCAGTCTGATTCGGTGTAGGCGGAAGATCACGATGCCAAGGCTAGATCCTAAGGGTATCACTTTTTTTTTTTTAAGTTTCTCATTTGTAATGACTCAAATGTCAGAATCCCTATGGGTGGTTTGACATCTGCAGCAAAATAAGTTAAGCCTCAGATTTACCTTTAAAAAAGAAGATGACAGCAAAAATTTCTCAATTTGAAAATCCAATAATAATCAGAGGGAAAGACCCATTTAAGACCCATCACTGTACTACTTTCTCTAGTCTCAAAATACACCATGACCTAAACAAAGTTCCCACACAAAATAGTAATTCTAAAACTTGAAAGGCCTTGTCTTAGTATTTCATATCAAGAAAACTAATGTCGAGGGGCTTAAATTCTCTCTCAGCAATATACAAGATAAATCCCTTTAATACAATCTAAACTGGAAATTCTCGGTAACATCTGATAACATCAAGAATATATAATAAAATAAAATTCTAAACTCCCCCAAACTCTACCTTCACTATCAAGGTTTGCAATCTATTGCAAAATTCACATTTTTCTGCACAGAACAACTGGAGAGACTTCAGTGATACAGAATAAAGTGGAACACAGACACAAGAAAAGTAACCATTAACTCTAGTACACTGGTGTACTGTTGCTTTAAAATTGCTCTGAACTGACCCAGGAAAAGAAGCTGTTTACATAAAACAAGTCTGGTAGACAAAAATTTGCCTGTAAACTACAGAACCTAAAAAAACTTAAAATATTCTTTAATTGCACTTGTTTTCTTTTTTAATACTTCTAATCCTCTACCTCTGTGGCATTACCCTACACCTTTTCCCCATGTTTGAAAATTCAAATAATTTTGACATCACAATTCTGTCTAACCTTAAAATGGAAATGAGCTGAAAGGCAGTTGTAGAGCAGAATACTAACTAAAAATCCTAACAAGTATATCAGGGCCTGATAGAAGGGCAGAGGCAGTAATAGCAACAGCAGCAGATGGTGCTTCCTCCTTCCTCCTGGGTTGCAGGCACTTGCCTTACACACAGCCCAATCTTTCCACTATTCCCAAGGGCTGGAGACAGGAAGAGGGGACGCTACCTGCTCGGCCTGTCCAGTGACTGCAGCACAGAACCTAGAGGAAGCCTACAGTCTCCAACTCTTAAAGCCTGCATTTAGTCACAAGCGCGACTAAATAAAAGTAACTATGTGAACACTCGTACTAAAGCAAGCCCGATTTATAAAGCTTAAGGGACAAAAAAAACCTTCGCAGTGTGCAGCACAGTACCTTCAACAGCAGAAAAATTAGCCTTTATTTGTTCAATTCTTGGCTGTCAAAGCAAAAATAACCCACTACTTGTTTATTTACCAAAGTTCTAAAATGTGTCCCTACTATTATTGTCAAGTTTTTCATAGACTATTTGAAAAAATCATCTGATATTACACAAGGATGATTTGAGAACTTAAGGAGAGGAAACTAGACAAAGCTTTTCATTTAAAAAATTGTTTTGCTTGGCAAAACACTACAAAATACTTTTATGTATGACTTTAATGAAGCATTAACTCATACAACCCATTAGACACATGCTTATATACACTATAAAAGACGACGACCCCGTTTGGGGGTACGCTGTAAAGGCGCATCTCTCTCTCAAAGTTAACCCAGAATGGGCCACGACACGTCGTTTCTGAAGAAAACACTGAACCCGTTCAAGCTAAGCTTCTGCCGGGCAAATGGAATAATGTTTACTCTGTGAGTAGACAAAGTGAATAGTTTACACACTGGAAATGATGAAAATCCTAAGAACCTTAAATCTAAGTTACAGAAACACCACCCCACTGCTTCCCCATTTCTTGTTCATTTTCCTGATCTGATCACCTGGACCTTAAAAAGACCCAGAGAACATTCTTGTGCAACGAATGCCCCTCTCACCGGCCCCCAGGCAGCGTCCCCGCCGCCCACGCCGCACCTGCCCTAGCGTCCGGTCGCCCAGCTCCGCCTCCCTCGGGCCTCACCAGCCCGCCCGGCCCAGCGCGGGACAAAGCACCGCCGCGGGCCCGACCTTGGCGCCGCCCAAGTCGGCCGCACAAAGCGCCGCACTTCCGGCAGCGCAAGCCGCTGCCGAACCCCTCGAGTGCCCCGCCCGCACTCACCGCGCCGCGGCGGCGGCCTGGGCCTCGATGACCAGCGCTCGCCGGCCCGGGGCGGGCTCGGGGGTCGGGCTCGGCGAGGGGCGCGCGCCGCGGAGGCCTGCTCCGATGCGGGGCTGAGCCGCGAGGCCCCGGTTGCCGCCGCCGCCTCCCCGGCCCGCGTTCCCGCTCGCCCCGCTCGGTCCGGTCCGCCTCTTCGCAGCCCGCGCTCCCCGCCAACGCTGCGCAGCTGCCGAGCTCCAACCTCACTTCCGCCTAGAGCCCGCCGCGGCGGGGGCGCCGGCACGTGACCTCACGGCACCTTCCGGTCTCGGAGCTGGCGTGCGCGCTCCCGCTGGCGTCCGAGAAGCTCCCGGATGCGTAGGCAGCGGGGAGCTTAACAGCGCGGAGATTCTCGGGCCGAGTCCTTGGGCTCTCGGAGTTTGGAGCTTGGAGGGCTGAGTGCCTGAGAGGTCACCAGCGCCCGGGGCGTATCTGTTGACTTTTTCGAACAAACGCTCATGATTTTCCTCACGCTATCTTTGCGCTTTTCGTGCAGTGTGGAAAGAACACAGTGGAACTAATTATAGGGTTTTATTAACTTCTTAAAAAAATGTTTTGTTTTTTTTTTCAAACAGCGCCGCACTACAGGCACCCTCGTGTAAATGCTGCCGCGGCGAAGGGGCTGCGCCTCTCCAGACTGTCAGGCTCCGCGCCCCCGGCCGGGGTGGTCGGGTGGCCTCCGGCGGGGTGGTCGGAGGAGCGGGAAGGCCCCGCTGCCGGCCGGGCATCCTGGGGCTCGGCGCTGGTACCGCCTGGGCTCGCGGAGCCGCCACGCTGGCCGCCAGCGCGCTCCGGCGCTCTTTGCGTTCGCTGTTTTCGATGCTCTGCATTCATTAAGTCACTTAATATTCATAGTAAGTCGTTTTACAAATGGGGAAATTAAGGCACGAAGAGGTTGACAACGTTCTTCGAGAGCACACAACTCCTAGGAAGCCGACCCGGGATTGAAACCCCAACGTCTGGCTTCAGAGCACTTGCTCAGAAAGAGGGAGTTTTGGCTTTGCGCTTTCCCAGAGCTGCACTTGCTGTCTCTGCAACGTTACTTGGACCCACAGGTTCCCTGCGTGAGCTGAGAGCCGATGGGTCTGCCTTGGAGAAAGGTGAAGGAATCCTGTGGCCTGTACTCAGCAGGAAGAGTCCAGGCAGTCTACCTTGCCCTGACCAAGCTGAGAACATCTGCTACGGTTCCTAAAGACTTTTTTACTTGGCATCTCTAAGATTTCAGTGCAAGTTAAAATAGTTGCAAAGGACTTGATTTTTGGCACGCTGTAAGTGATGATGGTTTTAAATAAAACGGGATGTTATTCTTTAAAATATACCCACCATGGTGATTCGATTCCCACTATTTTCCATTTTAAAAATACATGAATTAGCTCTGGGCTTCCCTGGTGGCGCAGTGGTTAAGGATCCTCCTGCCAATGCAGGGACACGGGTTCGAGCCCTGGTCCGGGAAGATCCCACATGCTGCGGAGAAGCTAAGCCCATGAGCCGAAACTACTGAAGCCCGAGCGCCTGGAGCCCATGCTGTGCCGCAGGAGAAGCCACCGCAATGAGAAGTCCGTGCACCGCAACGAAGAGTAGCCCCCTCTCGCCGCAACTACAGAAAGCCCGCCGGCAGCAACGAAGACCCAATGCAGCCAAAAATAAATAAAATTAATTAATTTTTAAAAATACATGAATAAGTTCTGTAACAGTGTGAAATTCCATTCCTGCTTTTTCTCCTTAAACTCCTGCTTCCATAGCACTGCCCCTGGAGAATTTAACCCTAATATATTGTCTGTTGAGCGTCATTATTTTTTTTAAGTCACTTGTATCTGTCAGGATAGCTAGGAAATGCTGCAGTAACAAGCCCCAAATCTCAGTGTCTTCACACAATAGAGGTTTATTTCTCACCTAATCAACAGATCCAAAGCAAGTGGTATCATCTAAAAAACTACACAAACAGGAGAATCCAGCAGCAAGTGATAATTGAAGTGAGAAAAAAAAAAGATAGCTATCATGTATCTAAATAACTAATTAGACGATAAAATAGAAGAAAAGATCCATTTTATACAAGGTTACTTATAGGAAAAATAAACCAATATATAAATATAACAATATAATACCTAGCAATAAACTTTTGTAAGAGTTGTGCAAGATCTATATGAATAAAATTTAAAATAACCACCAAATGGCACAAAAGAACACTTAAATTCATGGAGAAAAACATCATATTCTTGGATAATTCTTCTAAATTTATGAATTTAATACAATTCCTATCAAACACCAATAATTATTTTTAAGTAGATAAAGTAATTCTAATTTACACGAGGAAAAAATCAACAAGAAAAATCAAAAGCAAGAATATCTGGGAAAATCCCTGGCGGCCCAGTGGTTAGGACCTTGCGCTTTTACTGCCAAGGGCCTGGGTTCAATCCCTGGTTGGGGAACTAAGATCCTGCAATCCGTCCTGCGTGACCAAAACAACAGCAACAACAAAAAACAAAAAAAAGTGCCAGGAAAACTTTGAAAATAAGGAGTAATAGTGAGAGGGCTACTAAACCTATCAGACAAGAAAACATATTTAAAATCCTCAATCAACGGTGTATCACAGATGCATAAATAGACCAATGAAATATAACAGAAAATTCAGAAATACAAATTATTTTAGGAAGATGGTATCTGGTAAAGGTAACATCTCAAGTCACTGGGCAGAAAGGTGGACTGTTTAATAAATGGTATTGGGACAGAAATATAGCCATCTGAAAAAATGTAAAATTGAATCTATACCTTACACCATACCAGAGTAAAATCCAAATGAAAAAAGATATAAATGTACAACCATGGAATCATAAAGAACAAGAAGAAAACATGGAAAATTATTTTTAAACCATGGAGTAAAGAAAGCCTTTTTAAACTGCCTCTCAAAATTCAGACACCATGGCTATGAAAAACTTTGGTTTGACAAAAATCACCATGAGCATAGTAAAAAGACAAATGATTAACGAGGAAGAAATAGTCCCAACACATATCATAGTCAAAGGGCTAATCTCCTTAATATTCAAAGAGCTTCCAGAAGTCAGTAAGAGAAAGTCCTAAAACTCCGTAGAAATTGAGAGTTCACAGAAAAAGAAATGTGGCTCATAAACCTATGAAAAAATTTCAGCCTCACTCATAAAAAGAAAAATGCAAGTTAAAACTCTTTGAGGTAGCATCTTTTCACCTATTTGATTGGCAAGCATCAAAAAAAAGTGACTATTGTTGAGGCTGTAGGGAAGCAGACACATTGCTGGAATGGAGAGGGGACCATTTGATGATGTGTATCAAGAACAAATATACAGAAAACTTTTCATCCAACAATTCCACTTCTGGGAGTTGCTCTACAAAGAAATTCTCTGAAGTGTAAAATGAAATAGGTTCAAGTTTATTCATTGCAGTATTGCTAAGAGTAGGAAAATACCCTAAGCAACCCTAGTGTTTGTCCTAAAGGACTGACTGAGTAATATACTCCATAACTCAAGAAAGAAATGAGCAACATTTCTATATACTGAAAAGGAAATATCTTCAAGGTAGACTGTTAAATGAACAAAGCAAAGAGTAGAACTGCTGTTATGGGCTGAACTGTGTCCCTTACTCTCAATTCATGTGCAGAAGCCCTAAACCCCAGTGCCTCAGAATGGAATTGTATTTGCAGATAGAACCTTTAAAGAGGTAATTAAGTTAAAATGAGGTCAGTAGGGCAGGCCCTAATCCAATCTGACTGCTGTCTTTATAAGAAGAGGAGATTAGGATACAGACAAGATAGATCTATGGACAACCATGTGAGTAGATGACCAAGCCAAGCAAGCCAAGGAGAGAGGCCTCAGGAGAAAGCAATCTTGTCAGCACCTTCATCTTGGACTTCCAGCCTCCAGAACTGTGAGAACATCAATTTCTGTTGTCTAAATTGTCTTGTCTGTGGTATTTGTTATGGCAGACTTAGCCAAATGATTCAACTGTGCTAAAGAAGATTATGTAAAAAAAGGGGAAATGAAAATATATATTTGTATTTACTTTCATACAAACACAAATAATTGTAAAAATCCAAGAAAATATTGGGTGGGCCAAAAGGTTCATTCAGTTTTTTCTGTAAGATGGCTCTAGTAGCGCTTAGTTGTCTGTAACTTCATTCGAAACAATTTAGTTAGATTGTATGTGACAGCTGTCATATCAGCATGCATTTAAAAAAAGACATCAAAATTGGTGAATTTTTGTGTAGCCATTTTAATATTGAAGATGGAAGAAAAAAGCAACAATTTCGGCATATTATGCTTTATTATTTCAAGAAAGGTAAAAACGCAACTGAAACGCACAAAAATATTTGTGCAGTGTACGGAGAAGGTGCTGTGACTGATCAAACATGTCAAAAGTGGTTTGCGAAGTTTCGTGCTGGAGATTTCTCGCTGAACTATACTCCATGGTTGGGTAGACCAGTTGAAGTTGATAGCGATCAAATCGAAACAACAATTGAGAACAATCAACATTATACCACATGGGAGATAGCCGACATACTCAAAATATCCAAATCAAGCGTTGAAAATCATTTGCACCAGCTTGGTTATGTTCATCACTTTGATGTTTGGGTTCCACACAAGTTAAGCAAAAAACACCTTCTTGACCATATTTCCGCATGTGATTCTCTACTGAAACGTCATGAAAACTTTCCGTTTTTAAAACAAATTGTGATGGGTGATGTAAAGTGGCTACTGTATAACAATGTGGAACGGAAGAGATCATGGGGCAAGCGAAATGAAGCACCGCCAACCACACCAAAGGCTGATCTTCATTCAAAGAAAGTGATGTTGTGTATACGGTGGGATTGGAAGGGAGTCTTCTATTATGAGCTCCTTCTGGAAAACCAAATAATTAATTCCAACAACTACTGCTCCCAATTAGATCAACTGAAAGCAGCACTCAACAAAAAGTGTCCAGAGTAGTCAACAGAAAACGCATAATCTTCCATCAGGATAATGCAAGACCATATGTTTGTTTGATGACCAGGCAAAAACTGTTACAGCTTGGCTGAGAAGTTCTGATTCATCCGCTGTATTCACCAGACATTGAGCCTTCGGATTTCCATTTATTTCGGTCTTTAAAAAATTCTCTTAATGGAAAAAATTTCAATTCCCGGGAAGACTGTAAAAGGCACCTGGAACAGTTCTTTGTTCAAAAAGATAAAAAAGTTTTGGGAAGATGGAAT